AAATAATAATATAAAATAATAATTAATTATTTTTGAACTTTTTGAATTTTTTTTAAATTTCTGTACGTACTTTTTTATTAATTGTGAACGGATTTGTATCATTTAAAATTATCGGTCCATGTATTACAAATTTTTATCAATTTCTTGAATATCATCTTTTTTTGGCCATTTGAATTCATCTAAATTAGTACACAAAAATTTAATTTTGCTCATATTTTGTTTTACATGTAACACCCTTCCTATATACCATCCTGTATCATAATAAATAGAATAATATTTTTCGCCTTCAATCTTTAACTCTTCACTTAATGTTTCGTTCATAACATTCTCAACATTCATGTTCGTACCACGAACTCGATATAATCTATCATTAGATAATCTAGTTTTATTTTGATACATCCAACAAAGTGAAGACTTTCGTACAGTATATTTTTTTTCCATTAACATTTACGTTTAAAAATAAATCTTTATTATTTTTTGTATTATATCTACTATAATCTTTTAAATTTGTTTGAATTTTAAATATTGATATATCACTTTCTAAATTTTCAAAATCTTCGAATTTTTCATTAGCAGATACAGTATCATTATTTTGTTCTTGTATAATATTATCATTGTCCTCTTCTTCATTATTTTTCTCTTCATAAGTGAAATGCCGAATTTTGATCATTTCAAAACTTTCCTTTATTTTTTCTTCATTCATGTTCATTTCCAATTCTACTGCAATATTTAGTGCATCGTTTTTAGCAGTATTCAAAATATGTAAAATTTTTTTTGTAGATGGAATTTCATCAAATTTTAAAACTGCATCTGAAGAAATTCCTAATCGATAATTAGGTCGATTTCGTAATAATTTCTTTTCTTTTGGCTCTTTTCTTTACAAGGACTATATATATTTTTCTTATCACATTTAATACAAAATTTATTTGAAATATTTTCAAGTTCCTTGACACAGATATCTTTTAAATGTAACAATAGCTTTTTATGTCCATCAACAATCTTAAAAACTGACAGATTTTCTGACAGATTTTTATTGTATATTCCACATATAATTTTCTATTAATTCATTTTCATTTAAAAGTTTAATTTAAATCTTCTTTTACAAATCTTTCTAATTCTGTTATGCAGATATCATCTAATTTTGAAATTGATACAATATTGTCATAGCCTGCATAGTTTAAAAGTAATTTTACATAATTTGGTAGTTTTGTTTGGTAATTACTTAACATTTTATCAACAAATTCGTCCATTTTTAATCTGAAATTCGAAATAATAATCTCAACAATAAAAAGTATTACTTTTTTATTGCGAATTTACTGCGCATTTAATTTTATTGCAAAAACTTGAGAATAGCCATCTCGGTCTTTTTGGTAGACCTAACCTCGTAGGGTAATGCACGATTTTGTGATTTTCTTTCATGCTATTATGTTGGTTAAAAATACAGGATAAACAATCAAACTTTGATTTTTCGCCCTTGTCTACGAAAAGGCCGGAATAACTACTCTGAGGTTTATCTCTAGTAACATATCCTCGTCGCCGATTTATTTGAAAGTGAACGAACCGCAGCCGGTTCGTCGCGTCGCGCGTTTCGGGAGTGCCTTTCAAGTAATCGGACTCAAGTTATAGTCCGCGCGCGATTATAGTTTATTATTCGCGAGTGTGTTACGCGAGTGTCCTGTGCGAGATGTTAATCATATTCTGAGAGGAGGAGGAGGAGGAGGAGATCTGGGAGAGACATCAGGCATTGGTGGAGCAATCTTGCGGTAAATTATTTTTTACTAGCCATAAGAAATGGGCGAATCACAGTCGCTTATTCTTCTCGGCTTCGACTGTAATTGGTCAGTTTCTTACGGCAAAAGGCATAAAACACCTATTGTAGATCCGGACTTATTGTAGAAGGCCCATTAAGCCCATGACACGTACAAGAACGTAAGGCCGTAACACGCAAGCAGTAAGTGAATTGACCAATCACAGTAGAGACCGTAAGGCCAGTAGCGAATCCAATGTTACGATTTCCTTACTGATTACGTCTTACGGACTTACGTTTTTCTATGTGCTCCCGGCTTAAAGGGCCGTCTACAATACACGGAGTAAGAAGTAAGAGTAAGAAATTGACCAATCACAGTCGAATGTGAGAAGAATAATCGACTGTGATTGGTAATTTCTTACTCTTACTTCTTACTCCGTGTATTGTAGACGACGCCTTATAGTCATATTAATTCCGGTAATGCGAACGTATTGGAGCGCTTTGGGCATGTTGGAGCGTGCGACACGAACAAACTTCTAATTAACAAGTTGTATAAAGTGGGCTTTGTTCCAAATTTATTGCCAACACTGAAAATGCTACAATTTACGTAACATGCACTATAGATTTCCAATACTGGCAGTCACTTTTGGAACAAAATTGCCGAGATAGGTCGACGATAAAAATGAATATATGCGGCAATTTCAAGGAAGTTAAAATTAAGAATGAATGAAATTTTTGGAAGTTATTTTAATTGCTATTTGATATACGATATACATGATTTTATCAATTATTTTATATTTTTAAATAGAATTTCTTCAACAAGCATGAGTACAAGTGAGTTTTAATTAATAATGACTTAAAAGATTGAAATAAAATCTCAAAGTTACAATATGTATTAATAATAATTATTATAATAATTAATTTGATACAAATAACAAACGATAATAATAATTGGATACTGAATATATTATTAATTATCAGTGCAACGATCCATGTCGAAATCATGGTCTATTCTCCGTAGAGCTGTTCGATCCAAAACCTATATTAGTAATTTATCCCTTACTGGAATACCAAAGTCAAGCCTATACTTTCGCATTGACAAGAGCGGCTTTAAGGTATTTTACATAAAAATTACTCAACGTTCGGCAAGATAAAAGAAAATTTTGCGCAGTTTATAAAAATGTATAACCCTCGAAAGTTATAATGAAAATAAATAAAAGATTGTATTGGTAATGATAATAGGTCATATACTCGTAATGCATTTAAAATGATCATAAACTTTATTAAATTTATAGAATAGATAATGACCACAAAGTCTTCTAAAGGATGACTGAATTGTTATAAAGATATTTTTTAGTGAAAGTATATAGTTGACGAAAAAATGGCTAAAAGACAACAGATGTACTGCTAGTTATTTTATAGCCTTATCCATATGATTAAAGAATAACTACTTTGGATATCTTTTGGTCGTCTTTAAGACAGCTTTTAATTTTTATATTTTGGCACATATAACGTTTAATAACATTGAATTCCTAAATTAATTTTTACACACACCGATATGAAATTGCATGACTGAAAACATATATATCCCATTTTTGGGTCTTGCAATGTTTGCCGGTGTTCTATGTGCCAGAACCATTATCTTTCACTCTACTCGATTACAAGAAATAATTTATTAGTGTTCATTAGAATATGAATAAAATTTTTCATAATGCTGCACCTTTTATTCTATCCAGGGTACTTATCATGAAACATGTCGGAATGAATTCCGATTGGAATTATTCCGTTTTCTCTAGAAAACACAATAGAAATCTGGGGAATAATTGAATAATTCTAATCGAAATCCATTCCAATTTTTCCATGATAGATGCCCTGTATAGTTTTCAAACTCGATAAACTAAATTCCACCACGTCCGCCTGGTAGCGATTCAGCGTACTACTCGCGAATGAGTGATAAAAAGTATAACGGAAAGATATCTTTTTCATGTTGTCTTTTTGGCAATACTTTTGCTTTGCGAAAATGACAACCATAGGAAAATGACGAAAAGATGTCTTTTATAAGTTGTCTTTTCGACGAAATTAAAAGGTATCTTATAGACATCTTTTCGTCTTGTTGAAAATACAATCTAAAAAAGATGTCTTTTCGTCATTTTTTAGACATTTTTTTCGCTTTGTCGGAAAGGCAACTTAAAAAAGATCTTTTTTCGTTATCTTTTAATATTTTATGCTGTTTGGATACATAATGTATGTGAGATTTTAAATTAAAGTAGATGGTTATCTTTCAGACTCCGAGGTACCAAAATACTTATCGTTTGGAGGCTTGCAAACCTTTCAAGAGTGAAATTGTTGATACGATCTTAATTGATGTGATGCAGGATTATTTAGTCGGTTTAAAATATCAATCTCAAGTTTGCATGCGGATCTGTCAGAGAATGTCGGAGGAAGTGCGCGACAAAATTTGTAGGGAGTTTTACGATCGGTAATATATTGATTAATTAAACAAATATGTTATAGCAAATTAAATTAGACGCACTAAGTGCGCGACTAGTGCACATTAAAGTCCTTACAAAAATTGATATAAAAATGTCTGTTTTATATAAATATAGAATTGAGTTTTATTAAATCGCGAAATCTTCAATGCACTTTATTGTATTGTTTGCGGTTTTATATTTCTCAAATTATATTTATATTTATATATATTTCACTTTTACACTCTCAGATAGATTAGTGTGTATATATAACAGCTTCAATGCGCATCAGTAAGATCAAGATATCAATCATGTAACTTTTTCTTTAGAACGAAAACATGAAAAACGAAAATTTTTATATATGTATGCATGTACATATACACTCATGCATACAAAAAATTTTCATATTTTACATTTTTGCCCTAGGGAAAAAGATACGTAAATGATACCTTGAGATCTGTTTTTTGTGGCTGACTAGTATACACTTTTAGAACTTAAAGTGAGAAAAGTATATTGTATTTGATATTTATCGAAAGTACCTACGAGATACTATTAAAGACCATTGGCCTTGGACAAATTTTCGTGACTATCAATGAAGCCCTAGGGGCCCAGTGATTGAAAAATGATGACATTACTAATAATTAATAAAAATTTACGATTATAAACATAAATATTTCGATAATTTATTATTAAATTTGTTATTATGTAAATGCTGTATAAATAAACACGCATACTTTTATAATTAGGGATATGCACCGGATCATGAAGTTATCGGATATCCGAGAAGATAATTTCTTTGAGTCGGATATCCGACATTTCCGGATATCCGACCGGATTCCGAGAAAGTGTCTTCTAAAAAAAAAGTCTATAGAGAAAAAGATTGTAATGTTGACAAAGGCTGCATTCAGTAGGCTCAACAGTTGAATGAGCGCTCGCTGTTATTGGTGTATTCTTTTAGATCATCCAATCAGCATTTTAGATCTAAAAAAATATATCAATAGCAGCGAGTGCTTTCTCAACTGTTGAATCCCCTGAACGCAGCTAATGTATAAGATATTGTAGCATCATGATTATTCTAGAAACTTGTTTCTAGAACATTTGTATAAGAAAAATTCAACAATTTAATGATATCACATTTCAACCGGATATATTCCCGGAACTGATGATATCCAACTATCCGATCAGATAGTAAAAAATGCCGGATACTTTCCGGATATCCGGTGCATCCCTATTTTAATGTTATATCTTATATATTCTCAAAAAATTACAATTTTTTCTCTGCATTTTTTTCTCGATTGATGATCAAACTTGGACGTGATAACATTAAAAATTACAATTTTAAATAAAAATCGAGTATTATTAAGTTTTAAACATATATACATGTCTACGAAACTAATAAATTATGAAATTAGAATCGTATTATCAATTTCTTACGGTTAATTACTTAGATTTTACAGACACGCGAATTTCCATAAGCGCCGATCGTCTTTATAATAGTACCTCGTCGATATCGAAAGCGAGAAAGAGAGTTCTAGTGCAATCTAGTGCAGAAACAGAAAACAGATAGGGACTTCGCACAATAAAAGAAACAGGGAATAGAAAACAGAGAATAAGAATTTCAACCTATCAGAAATCATGTATTGTGGAAAATACACAGTTTCTGATAGATTAAAATTCTTATTCTCTGTTCTCTGTTCCCTTTATTGTGCGCAGCCTCATACAGTACGCACTAGTGAATTCATTTTATAATTACGTAAACTCAGAGAGAAATCTGAGAGAGGACATAACGATCCAAAACCTGTAACCGCAAAATGCTGCCCTCTGACAAAATGAATATAAACTACATAGCAACGTCTGCTTCTATATGTAGCATGATTATATGAACCAAATATCGATTTATCATCTTCAGTCTTGAAAAATAGACGATGTACCCTAAGGATGAAGTCCCATGAAGCGTATTTGCCGCGTATCGCGTAACCGTATAATCAATCAATAATCAATAAAACGTGAAATCACAACAGCGGATCGCTTCTGATTGGTTACGCGGTAAATACACCTCATGGGTATCCAGCCTTAGGGTGCTTACCCATGCAGCGGAATAGCGTAACGCGGAACGAGAGCAGAACCAATCACAAGCGTTCCGCGCCAATTGCAATTGGCATTATGGCTCCTGCACATGGAACGCGGAAACGTTTGTCGCACGGCAAAACATGATGCGGCAGCCAATAAGCTTATAGCTCCTAACATGTTTATTGGTTACCGCGTCGCATTTTTCCGCATCCAGTGTGCAGAAGCCATTAGTCGCGGCGCTTGAGTCAGTTCTTTTTTCCTGTCTCCTTCTCTCTCTCTTTCTGGTGTCTCTACTTACGTAAATAAAAGTGGACCAATTTTGCGTTTCGAGTTAAGTTTCGATTCTCGATACACGCGGCGCTTGTACACTTTGTAGTCCTGCGCATAATGAGTGCGCCGTAGGAAAAAGTGTCACGAACGTAACTTAACTTTAATCTTCCTTCATGACGAAGATTAATCGCATACAAAGTCGCCTTTACGGGGTTATTTTTTTCATTATGCGCAGGACTACAAAGTGTACAAGCGCCGCGTGTATCGAGAATCGAAACTTAACTCGAAACGCAAAATCGGTCCATGTTCTGAGGGCTGGCTAGGCTGAGTCTCCTTAGTCTTTCTTTCTGGTATAAACATATACATGATATGTGTATTTAATTAATCATTTTGATGGGGTGGCATCCAGTTGGACACTGCTCAATTGGACACGAGCCACTCACAGCGCTTGAGACTACAAAGCTCCTAAGCACCGGTCGCTGTGATTGGTAGTGTCCAATCGAGCCGTGGCCCGTGATCAATCGGGATCACCCCATTTTGATGCATATTGTACCAATTTAATACAACATTCTTTGAATTACATCGCTGAAATTAAAATAATTTAATAGAAAATTACTAGTTAGTATGTGTATCAAGTGCACGATGTAAATTAGGCCACTGTCTTAAGATTATAAGATCCTGCGCACAATAAGGCCATTCTACATTGGTCGTATCATAGTGTCGGAAGCGTCGTAAGCATCATACGACTTTAAAATTGAAGCATCGGATTGGCTGAAGCAACAAGCTTGTGACTTGCGACATCTACGATACGACCAATGTAGAATGGCCTATAGAAGGAATAAGGAATTAGGAATAAAGAATAAACGATTTTAACCTATCTCAGAAATCGGGTACATCGGAATACACGGTTCCTGATAAATTGAAATCGTTTATTCTTTATTCTTAATTCCTTATTCCTTTTGTTGTGGACAGGGCCTAAGTCAGCTTTCTGCTAATTTTTTTATATTGCAATTTATAATATAAAATTTTTTTATTGGTGGCATACTGAAAAATGTCTAGGCTTTGGCCGATATGAATGGACATGCTATCGAGACGTGAACTAATGGCATACTCCGATTATTTAATACAGTAGAACCCTGATTAACCGACCTTACGTTATCCAACTCCTGGGTTATCCGACTTTGTTATCGATCGTAGCGCTACCGTACAGTGATGGAAGACGCGGCTTCTCTGAAAGATAGATGGAAGGGGTACATACACAAAAAGAGGCATACATATGTGTGTCAATGTGCGCTAGGGGATACGTACACAAAGAAGGGGATGACCTATGTAGTGATATATACGTGCTTCTTTGTGTGTATCCCCTCTACCTATTCTTTGAAGTAGTCGCGTCTTCCATCCGGTATCACTATTTCAATGTATACGCCATATCTGTTCGTTTCATTCGTCCTGTAAACACATGCAATGGCTCCGAAACGCAAAAAAGTCTGTATTCCACTTGAAACAAAACTTCGAGCTCTTAAACGCATTGATAGAGGAGAGTGTCATAAAAAGGTTGCTGCCAAGTTTGGTGTTGGGCGAGTCACCGTTGGTGACTGGATACGCAATCGTGCGAAATTGATGGCATGGAAGGAGAAAACGAAATCATCTAATGAACGTAAAGCAATGAAGTTTACAGAACACACGAAAGTGGAAGAAGCATTATTTTTATGGTTTGTGCAACAAAGAGAAAAAGGTGCTCCAATTTCAGGATCAATATTACAAGCAAAAGCTTTGTCACTATATTCGCATTTCCCAGACGAAGCTGAGAAAGAGGAATGTTTTGCAGCCAGCAATGGCTGGCTTGATAGATGGAAAAAGAGATATGGTATACGACTTATGCAATTTAATACTCGTGGAGAAAAATTCTTTGAAGACGATGACGTTGTGAACGTTTTCAAAGAAAAGTTCAAAAAAACGATCAAACGAGGAGGTTATTCATTGGAACAGATTTATAATTGTGACGAAATAAGTTTGAATTACAAAATGTTACCTAATAAAATCTTGGCATGGCATGAAGAATCATTAGTTCCGAGTAACAATCGAAGCAAGGAAAAAATAACCATATTAGCATGTAGTAATGCCTCTGGGAATCATAAGCTGCGTCTTACGGTCATTGGAAAATATGCAAATCCTCGGGCATTAAAAAATCTAACAACCTCAACAATGCCGGTTTACTATAAAAACCAGAAAAATATATGGATGGATACTACGATCTTCAAATGGTGGTTCCATAAACAATTTGTACCCAAGGTTGAGAAACATTTGAAGAAGATGAAACTTCCGAGGAAGGCCATTTTGTTTATTGATAATGCACCTGCACATCCAAACGCGGCTATGCTATATGATGGCGATATCATCGTGAAATTCTTTCCAACTAACGTGCAGGCATCATTGATCCAGCCCATGGAACAAGGTGTTTTCGAACACTTAAAGCGGCTATACCGATTTAATCTCTTAACATTTCTTTTAGAGGCAAGTGAAAGCGGCCAAAAATTGACCGATAGTCTAGAGAAAGTCAACTTAAAGAAAGTGGTGTTTTGGATAGCTCAATCATGGAAGGAGATAAAACCGGAAATTATGAAAAAGTCATGGAATAAACTTTTTAATTTTTCTGAGAAAGAAAAGGACTTGGAGAATATCGACTTACCTAAACAAAAAGAGGAATTACGAAATAAATTATTTGAAATGGCAAAGTCCCTCCTTGGACCGGAACGAGTTATGGAAACAAACATTGAAGAATGGATAACAGGCGATGACAGAGAATTAGATTATACAGATGCAGAGATAGTGGCCCTTGTCGAACAAAAGTCTTCAGAAGAGTCATCGTCAGAATCTGATGAAGAGGTAGTTGAACCGATTGAGCGGAAAATTTCTCACTCCGATGCTGTGTCCGCCCTTAAAATTGTACTGGCATACGTAGAACAAGAAGAGGCAACATCATCCGACGTGTGCACGTTGAAAAAATGGCGAGATATTGCAGCGAAAAACAGATCAGCAGCACTCCGAGAAACTAAAAGATCTAAACCATAGAGAATTCACATCCATATATATCTTTACTACATATATATATATATTTATATATTTGATCTTCCTATATATATGTATATTGTATCAACGAATTATATTTCAAAAATTATTATGTTTAAGATTTTAAGAAGAACAGAATTGACTGTACTTAAAGATGTAATTAAAGAACAGAATTGAGAGAGACTATGTTTTAAGATGTAATTAAAATCATTTCTATCTAAAATATTTGTTTTTTTAATAAAAAAAAATGATCTCCTTTTCATTAGTTAAATAATCGAAGTTCTACTGTTATATTTTATTTCTACTATTATATTTTAGTTGTGTAAAAGTGTACTTTCAAAATGTTTATTATTTATGCTATTTGAGTATTAAAAATCCACTTTTTATCTGAGAAACTGTTTCAGCCTATTTTTATTGCTGCTTCCAGATACAAAGTTGTGGTTATTATGTCGATCATCCAAAAGTTAGGACAAAACGTGCAAATAAATTTTGGTAAGTTATGGGACGTTCAGAGAGATACGTACTCAACTCATATAGTTGAAACTGTAGAATTTGCTGCGATGGGTCTCGTAGTGGGGACTTATTACGAATAAACAAGTATTTAAAAAAAAAAGATCAGTGTGAGGGCTTTTGTAATGATGAGCAATAAGTCCTTAAGCATAGATTAAACCAAAATAGTGTTTTAGACAAAATTTAAAAAATGAGAACGTACAAATAAAATTAATTAAAGACGAATTAGCGGAAAAATATGTTGTATGCATAATAATTAATTTGATCGAATGTTCGCCGATGTTATGCCTGAAGAAAGAATCATTGATCCACACTCACAATTAGATCACGTGTGTTTCATATTTTTCTTTATTGTTATTAAATTAATATATATATCATTCGTATATATATATTTATATATTTATATGTATTTATATATTTATATATTTATATGTGTATGTATATAACAGCGATAAGTACAATAATAATGTTATTAATAATAATCGAAGGATACCGATGATTATAGTGAGAACCGAGGGTAAAATAATTATTGCAATGATATTAACAATGGCAATCATAATAATGATAATGATGGTGATTTAATAATAATAATAATAAGTTGATCGATCCTTTTAATTAATACAGTCGTATATTCCCTTAAAGTCCGTCCTTAATACTTATATCGCGCTTTTATAGTTACAGGGATACAGAAAAATAATACCGCGCGGCTGTGGTGGAATGTTCTTTTTTTAAGTCGTATATAATATACATATATATGTATAATATTTATATAAAAGAGGCGCGAGAGCCTTAATTAATTAATTACAAGCTAGCGCCGCCGCCCGTTTTATTTACACCGCAAAAATTAAGCGAATTTTAAGAAAAAGACGTACAAAAATCCATTATGCGAAATTGAATCATTAATCTTTGAAGTCACAACTCGATATGAATGTAACGCAAAACTTCTTGCGCTTGCATGCTCGCCAAAACGCAAATTTTTTTAAAATTTTGTAAGAGTCCCAAACCTGTAATGTTTTACTTCATATTCTTAATTTCGTATTTTGCTTGTCAATATTCATGGAAAAATTCACAGAAATAGAAGAAAATTTTAAAATATTTTCCCATTTAACGGACTGAATGGTTACAATGTGTGTTTTAATAAATCGGAAGTACAAAAAATAGCCCCAGTTGTCTACTAACCAGCTCAAACTTTTTCGAAATCAAAATAGAATACAAAGGGATGAAAAAGCACTGTCGAAAAGCGTTATGTTAGACAACTTCAATAAAATGTTGGAAAATGTCTACTTAAAAATAGTACGACTAAGTGTTTAGCCGTGATTCTTAATTATAAAAACCAAGATTCTTATTTCGCAAAAGAGAATTTTCGTGAATCCCCCTCGGAATTCGCCTATCTTTCGCGGAGTTTCTTCGTAATTATTAGGATTAATCGTAACTTTACTTACAATCCTACCTGCCGATCAATTTTACACGCACGAGCTGCACTATGTAGATCCTTGGTCCATTTTTGACGCATACGTTTATTTACAAGGGCGGTGATTCGCCTCATCGCAAAAATTACAAGTCAACCGCGCGATCGGAGATTTGTGGAGCTTACCAAAAAAATTTTTTTGCTTTATCCTTTTGTAAAATATAAAATTATAAATAAAACAAACAAATATATATATACATATTTTTTGTTTTCATTACGAGTTGATGGTAAAGAATAATAAATGAATTCTTAATAATTATATAAGGCATTTATCGTAATTTGTAAGTTTTAGATAAGTGTAAGAATTATCGTAAAGAAAAACGAAAAGTTAGATAAATAAATAAAAAGAATACATACAAGTTCGTAAAATAAATCTGTTTCCAAAAATTTTCTGGTTTAAAAAAATTTTTTAATTACTAAACATTTACAATGCCTCTCTTTCGGATAAATAAAATATTATCTATTATTATTTATAAAGTGCCAAACTTTCATTGGTACTATATATATCATTATAATGATCTTTTCAAACTTTTGGTATCTTGGAAACTGTATGCTAATTAAATTAAAAGAAAGTTTGAGAACACGGTTCTATTCAAAACGTAATTCTTTGAAATTCTATCCCCTCTTCACTTACTTATAATTCAAAAATTATTAAGATTCTGTTGGATTATTACAAATTCTCTATTTGACTTCTACAATTGATAGAGACATTGCGCAACTCTTAAAACATAGATTGAGAGAGACTCATACAACAAATTCAAAACTTTTGCCATGTGCAAATATAAGATACATAAAATTAAAAGGCTTGTTTGATCGCGCAATTTGACCGTGATTTTTGGTTTCTACAACAACCACAATCGGGATGAAATTACCCTCTTTTTTCCCTCTTTCTCACTCTCTTCTTCTCTTGCCTCCGCGAGGGAAGGCGAGACATTCCACCTCGCCGTGATCGGTATGGAATTATCGAAAGTTCTCAATTTATTTATCTCCATCATGTGTATACGTGTATGTGTATATGATCGTTTATATGCACTTTGTGTACATCGTACGTGTATGTATGTGTGTATGTGTATATGTCTGTTGCATGCTATTATCTGTATATAACACATTTACAATAATAACAATACGTTGCTCGTCAATGACGATCCACCTTAACTCGCGTATGTATACGTTTATATTTATAATATTTATATATATAATCCGAAAAAAAGTTTAATAGGGTTATCGATCACCCCACACACGCGCGCGCGCCCATATACACCATACAGACGCACACACGCACGCACGCACAGATGCACTCACTCACTTACTTACTTACTCACTCTCTCACTCACTAACTCACACGCTCACATGCACACACGCACACTGACTCACACACAGAGGAACATACACGCAACTTCCTCTCTGTTTCATTCTCTTCTGTTTCTTCGCTCGATCATCGCATATCACAAAGTTTCCAAATGTATAATTTGGATTAAATGCTGGAGCAATAGCAATGACAATCATAGTAATCGGTATGATGATGCTTGGAAATGACGTTTTTGTTACAGTTATGGTTGCAACTCGCACGTATACGTGTTATGTTAGTGTATAATGTATAACCCGGCGAAATGCAAAATTTGGCAAAGCATCACCGTGGACGTTGCACAGTCCTTTCAACTACTTCGTAAAAAAAAAGTATAAGAATTATGAGATTAAAAAAACAAATTAACAATAATTAGCATATATATAGAAATGTTATATGTGGAAGAAGATAAACGTGTGTGAAAAAATTTTTATCTCTAATAATCTCAATCGCAAATATTTTTGTATCTATTGAATTTTAGCATTTTCCTATTCAATATATTTCCTCGAAATTTTTTTGTCGTTTAAACCGAATAATAAAACAAGTGCTCTTGCACTTTTCGAATCGACGTAATCGTATTTAAGCATAATTTTAAAATTTTGTGCGAAATTAATTGTAAGATAATTTATATAATAAAATGGAATATACGCGCGTATATGTACACTACCCCCGAAAAATTTCCGCATATTGCTATTTCTCGTTATTTTAAGTATATTTAAGTATATTTAAGTAAATAAGCATTTGATTATATTTTAAAAACAATGATTTGCTGATTACAACTGTATTTATTCTGCAGTATGATACAATCATCTTTGATTTAGTTCACAATTAGTAACTGCGGCAAGTTTAAAGCTTCAAAAATTTCGTTATCATGTTCGGAAATTTTTCGAGGGTAGTATACATACACATGCGATAAGTGGAGTAAAATAGGGATTGAAACTTGTATGATTTTCCGCTACTACACGTAGATATGGAGAAAAAGCGCTTCCATTTTCATGTAATGTTAACACCGGAATAACACGGTTTCAATCCCCAGAACAAAATCGTCAAACTATTTCGCGCGAATGTCTCGCATATCTGTCTCTTTCACACTGCCTCTCTTCTATTCTCTCACATTCTCTTACGCTGTCGTCGCAAATATATATACAGACTTCGAAATTGATCAAGAATTCTAATATTCGTGCCTCCCTATCTCTCGTTCTCTCTCACGCCATTATAAAAAATTGATTCGTTTCGCCTTAAATCGTTAACACTTTCCTTCCGCTTCCTCTGCCTCAGACCTCCCCTTCCCTCCTATCCTCGATGAGGGGTTAATCATCTAGATACCAACCAGAATACAATAATTTCTCGCAAAATTGCGCGCATCTCATATTTTGTTGTAGGTTACAATTTTGTAATATTTGGCATTATCAAAATATAATGTAAAATTTGTTTTATTTAAAATTATATTAAAATCTTGAATATTAGAAAAAGAAATTTTTAATGTCGTATTTAGTCATATGAACCTCGATGTTAAAATATTGCATAAGATTGCATTAGTTATCAATATTCTTATTCTAATTAAATAATTAATACTGTTACATAATACTATTAATAATATTAATAATTTCGACAAAAAATAATAAAATTAGTTTTTGTTAAAAAAATTAGAATCGCCAAAAAATAAAATACAAAGTAATTAAATGGTGATTAAAATAATTTAAAATTTCTATTTTAAATAACTATTTAATTATAAATTATATACTTTACAATTATGAAATTCATGTAATTGTTCTTGATGTAAAAATCCGTCGTATTTAAGACGTCTTTTGTAATTTCTGTTAAATATCAGTATATAATAAAAATTAATTCTTTTGACTTTTTGAGAAATGTTATTTTATTAATATATAGTTAAAATTATACATAATAAAAATAAAAACACTTCTTTTGATTTTTGAAATTTTATTTTATCGATATATGAATCATAATATTTTATGCTAAAAACTATAAAACATTTATTTAAAACATCTGTCTGTCCAATAAATATGTAAAGTTATTTTTATCATTTAAAAATACTATAAAGCAAGAAAAAATGTTGTTAATGTTTTGATGAGAAAATTATGTATCTCTCAATTTCACTTTTTTTTTTACAAATATACCAAATTGAAATTCGCGAATGTTTCGCACGATCGAACGAGTATTTGATTGATATCCATATGATGAACGTTCATCGATCGTTCCTGCAGGAAGGCTCGCGGCCATCGTCATTACGGCCGTCGCGGTGCTACGAAAAATATTTCCAAGGTCAAGCCATCACAGATAATAGTTCCGGATGTCGGAGGTGCGGGGGACTATATCGTGCAGAGACGAAAGACGTGCGCACTTTCAAGGTTCTCCCTAAAGTTAGCTTACTAAAGTCGTTCTTACAATGGTAACAAGACTTGATCCTATTTACAACTGGCTCTCTTCTTTCATTATCCTGTTAACACCTCGAGGAGATGGATGCTAACCGTGCCAAACTCTGCGAGATTCCAAACAATCCATGGAGCATCTATTCGTCATCGTCACGGGACATCTAAGACCCGCGTATATATTTACACTCCGTCGGCGATTCAGAGTTCTGGGCTCCCTCAAGGCCCGCTGGGCCCCAGCCAGCTCACATCGGGAGCCACTCACTACGCTGGGACTTAATAATGTTAAGGCATCGTCGTGCGTATCGACGAACACGAGTTCCTCTCTAACGTTCGTTGGCAGTAGCGAAAATGTCGGTCGGGATCCATCACCTTCACCCGCTCGATCCAGGCACTATCAAACCCCCATGTACCTGAACGCACCATGATATCACTCTTAATAACGCAGAACGATCGAAAAATGATCGTGGAATTTTCAAAGTTAGGAAAATTCGGAAACTCTAGAACTTTGAAGGTAGAACTTGAGTTTGCGAAATTTCAGAAGCTCGGTGATTCGAATAGTGTCATGGAAGCGCAGAGAGAGTTTTCAAGTAATAAGATTATCTTCAAGTTTGCGGTCCACAATTTTGCAACTAGAATAACGCAAATCTGATGATCCTCGAAGCTCGACGATATCATTAAATATTGATTGAGGGCTAACAAAACGTTTATTTTCATTTTTCCTCCAGTTTTATCAAAGAGATGAATTATCCTTCTATTTTTTTTAGTTTGTTTAGAAATTCAAGATTTATCGTATGAGATTTTTTTCCATTCCTTTGTTTTTACAATGAAGGAACACATTTATTACTTTTTCCTTTCGTTTCTTCTTGAAACCTGAAGAAACGATTTTTTTCTGATATTTCTTCCAGTTAGAATTAGGGAAAATTTTTATTGACTTTCTTCCAATTTCTTCAGGAATCCCCCAAAAATTCATTACATTTAGCTTTCTCAACAATTCTGCGTTTAATTTCTTCAAAAAATAAAAAAAATTTTCATATTTTTTGAAGATATTTCTTAAAGATTCGACAAATATCTTTTCTGACTGTTATTAAAGAACTTTCTTCTGCAGCTTCGTACAATTAAGACTTTTGACGATTTTGAAGATTTTAAACTGTGATTAACGAAAAAGTCTTTTTTCATTCAGCTCCGATCAATCTTGTGGCTTCAGTCGCATCTTTGGGAGTCTACGAAGAGCATCGTCAGAACGAGCGCGGCGAATGGTAATGGCATAATATTGTAGTGATGCGTGCGATGATGAGGAGCGTAAAGTCGGGGGCCGAGCGGAATAATTTCGCGCTCAACTGTGAACCGCGGCTCCGTATGTCATACTGGCTCCTCTCGCTTGAAATTGATGTTCTGGGAGGCGCAAAAGTCACGGGTGAACGGCACGCAATTGAACAGTTTGCACACTTCACACTCGTACACTGGTACATTGTAAAAGAGGGCGAGTAACAAAGCGAACAGGCCCACAATCAGAATCATGCAGACCCAAATCAGTAAGATCTTCCGTCTACGGTCGTAATGGCCAAATGAGATAAAGGGCATCAGTGCGTAGGCCGCCAAAAAGCCGAAGATGAAGCCAAATAGATGCGCGTAATTATCTATCCATGGCAAGATACCCAGCGTCAATAGTCCCAACAGAATCAGGATCAGCTTGGATAATGTGCGACGCGGGTGCTTCAGCATCGGCCAGCAATGCAGCACTTCGACCACCAGCGTGGCAAGCAGAGCGAAATGTGCGCCGGCTGGACCAACCTATAAACAAAATGAATAATATTAACAATGTTATTGATGCGTCCATCTAAAAAAATGATAAATTAACTTTCACAAATAGGCGTTAATCGATTTAATAAACTTTTATGTTTCATACATAGAAAGAAATAAGAGAAAGGGAAGGGAGGGGAAGAGAGATTTTATAGTAATATCTCAATATTAAACAGACAATTGGCTGTTGGCCAACTTCACTGATTATGACTTAAAATCGCTTAGAACTTCTGACTTGCGGCTTATTGTAGAAGGTCCATTAGACTTTCGTATTCTGCATATTCTCACGCGAAGAAGAAGACGCATATGTCAGCAAGATTATCGTGTGTGAGGTTATATTTGAAGGATTATAAAATCGCATATCGCATGACTGTCTACAAAGCATCAACATGAAGTGCTATGTGTCAACATGAAGGGTGTAGGCAGAGAAGTAAAAAGGGCCTTCCATTTCATAGGTAATGCCCATTCCAGTGTATATATAGTTCAGTGCTTAAGAGCTGGCGAAAACACCATGGTGCAGACGATACCTAGGGGAAGGCCTGGGCAAAATGGACGCCCTAGGTAAAGCGAATACCTTTTATTTTCGCTTATCTATTTGAGATTGCGCTATGAGTCTGTAGCAGTTGAAAGAATGACCGACCAGCGATAGTATGAAACGACAATGATTGCGTTCGTTTGTGTTTAATAGAGACTTATAGAAAATTGAGTATTTTCTTGCGATTTTTCCTTAGGTACATAGCTTAATTATTATCTGTAATTGTTCCTTAACACCAGTGTAAATGATTTTTTATAAGAATTCTGTGTCTAAACGTGTATTCGAGGTTAAAAATTTTCACTTAGTACTTCAACTTATTTTAACCTTTCCAAATTCACGCTAGGTAGGTCCTTTGGGCAAAGCGGATGATCCATTCTCTTTACTCGGGCTACGGTCCACTTGACCAAATTTATTATCAACTTTTTAGTACTGCATTTTCTTATTTTTACCAACATGAGAAAATATGGTATTAAAAAATTCTGAAAAAATTCTCAGAACTTTATGAGAAAAAAATAAATGATTTTTGTCTCTTGCAGTTTTTCTGTAAAGTTGATAGTATTTGAGTAAAAAATTATTCAAGACCAATATTTTGCAATTTTTAGTAATTAATATCTTGTTAACTATTGCGAAAATTGTAAAATAGTAAAAGACTTTTCGACTCAGTTTAGTCTGCTCTATCTACACAAAAGTGATTGGCAAAAAAGTTTGGGACACCCTGTATACACACAATATTCCATTTTGAAAATAATAATATTCCAAAAATTACGTTGTCTTTTTTGCAATTTTTTCCAAAACAAAGCAAATATCTAAAGGATTTTTTTTCTTAGTTTATACAGGATATTTCTTAAATAGCGGACACTAATTATATAACGCTATTTCTGATTAAAAATTGAGTCGAAAAGTCCTCTACCATTTTGCAATTTTCGTGATAGTTGATTGGGCAACTGGATACGCGCTTATTCGACAATACTCAAAAATTAATATTTCGTCAATCATTGCGAAAATTGCAAAATTGTAGAGGACTTTTCGACTCAATTTTTAATTAAGAATAACGCTATATGATTAGTGTCCGCTATTTAAGAAACCTTGAATATCGATTCCTTATACGCTACAAATTTGACCATTTAAATTCGGGACATCTTGTATATACCAAGGTAGCCAAGCATGATTTAGCATATGCGACAAACTAATGTACCTACTGCAGTTGTTGTGAAGTTGCCGTCAATTTGCTGATATCGAAATCTTATGTGCAAACTGAATTAGCAATATAGGAGCAGGGATGGGAAGTAACTCGTTACTTGTAACTTACTTGTAAGTTACTTTTTTTCAGTAACAGTAACTTAACTTCGTTACTTTCTTTCCATCTGTAATTATAACTTAACTTAGTTACATCTTTTAAGTATCTACCCTGATAGCACAGAAGAATTTCTGTAATGTTGCACGAACATAACATTGAAACACTGAAACCATCGCAGTAACGTTGCGTAATGTTTCTGAGAAGTCTCTGCAAGATTGAGGCAACGTCAAAATGTCCGCTTCGATCCGCAAGAAACGTTTCTGAAATCTTACGGAAATATTTATACAATCTTTCAGTGATATTGATGCAATGTACTCTTTAGTTTCATCTGCAACCTTGCAGAAATGTAAAAAAAAATAACATATACCTATTTCACTTCAAGTTCCAAAACTGTATACTGATTCAGCCACAGAAAACAGACCTATGGGCACACATGTACGACGACGAAGTTTACGTACGTTCATCGATCAAACTTTCTGTGCTATCAAGTAGTAACTAATTTAATAGTTACTTTCATAATTATTTTATATATTTTAAACTTATTTGTCAATTTAGTGTGCGGTAGTGTCCACTTGGCGCTACAAATACTTCGAAACATTTGATTAATCAGAAGAAAGAAATTTAATTAAAGCGTTCAATGAACTCTTGTACCTGTTTGGTCTATATTTTGGGATTAATGGAATCCGCCAATCAAATACAAGACCGTTCAGTGAACGGTTGTAGACCATTTTGGATTAGTGCTGGAATTTATTTGCAACTCTTAGCCGAATATAAAAAGAATTTTTTTTTATAAAAAACATTGTATATATGTGTTATTTCATATTCATATGTGTTTATATTACTTTAACGAAAAACATTTTTGCAATACAATTTTCTTATCTTTTTGAATAAAATTGTATAACATGTAAATGTAAGCCAGTCTTTTTTTTTTAATTGTCTTAGGCTGCATTACTCTGATGATTCCGCGTATCATCCTTGTTTAATATTAGGTGAAAAACAAGGGTAAAACGATACATGAAGGCAGTTGGATAACGTTTCTTAATACGGCCCTAATAGTATCGATACTACTAGTAAAAATTCCGATGAAAAAAGTAACTTAAAGTTACTTTTTCAGTAACTGTAACTGTAACGAATTACTTTTTAGAGTCAATAACTTGTAACGGTAATTAATTACTTTTTGAAAGAGAAAAACTGTAACTGTAATTAATTACTTTTACAAAGTAACTTTCCCATACGTAAATCATATGTGTGCAAGTCCTATTGAGTCGACAAAACGCGATGACTATAGGATCCTTTTAATGTCCACGTCATAATATACAGATATGAAGATATATTCAGATATATTAAGTGGGAGATAGATAAGAGAGAGAGAGAGGAAGGTAATTTTCTAACTTTCTTCTCTAATGACTCGTAGACGGATACCACGTCCACATTTAACAAAAGTACATTCTGTTCGAAGTCACCTTCATCTATGATAGTTTAAGTACTTACTTCTGCCCTGTAAGGGACAAATATTGCGCTGGCCAAATTCCCAGCAAGAGCACCAATAAAATAGATCAAAGCGATGCGCAACGAGCCTGTCAGTTTTTCCAAATCTCTCATCAGGAAATATTGGATCAGCAACGTAATTATCAAATGGACGATTCTGAAAAAAACGAATTTATATTGAAATAAATACATAAATCAAGAGTTCTTGCTTTTTAAATTAATTTATTCGGACTAATCAGTTCATTTTATTACGTCTTAATAGGAAAATAAATGTTCTTTTTTAATTGAATTAATGGCAAATTGATTTTACTTACTGAGATAAATTTAATGAAATAAACTTCTAAAAAAAAATTTTTGTTATTAATTAATATGAAATCAATCACACATAAATTTTACGATTAAATAAACGCATAAAATTAATACATTTTATATCTTCAAAATAAATTTCAAAAAATGCAATTTGTCATCAATTATTACCCGGCATGAAGAAAAATGGTGGTAAAGAGTCTGTAGAACTGATCTGGCCATTCCGGATGCAGGAACGGTATCATTCCGCAGACATCGTGCAAACACTCCACCTGGGAGCACAGGGACGCTTCCTCGTGAAAGTAACCATGGACAAAATCGCAGTACTCTTTCGTGGTGATCCGACACATCCCGTGAATCCCGATACAACAAGGGTGACCGATTACCTCGCACACCATATGCTCCGCCATCTTATCCTTGTAACGACCGATCGGAAAATTGGCGTTGCCCCGTTGACCCCCGTTTTTACTGACAAAAATTTTTGGGTATTTTTCTTTTTTGCAATCATTTTAATCATCGCGAATAACAGTTTTATTTTCACAAACTTATATATTTCCGCAAATGGTTTTGTTTCGTGTGAAAGTATTTTATCATTTGTACTTTGAAAAATTCACGAATGAATATACTTGGAAGATTGGAAAAAACTCACCTGAAACGTTGGTTAAAGGGATTGGTTTTCCGACAAATTGGCCACTTGGTGATGTCGTCTGGCCACTCGTAAGGTGCGATGCTTGCCGGGGCATCGCAAAACTTAGGATCCAGCCCACAAACTGATCCACTGATGCGACCGCCAGGCCCGCTGTCTCCAGGTCCCCACTTCTTCCAGGTCGATATTGTATTCTGCGAGGGTGAATATAATTGCAATTAATTTCATTGCTAGCAAAGAGAGAATTTCTAAGACTTTATAATATCATTGCGGATACATTCAGCAAAAGACATAATAGTGGTAACAATTATAAAAATGACAATTACACAAGTTATATCAAGATCAATTAAAAGAAATAAATCTATTTTCGGTCAAAGCGGATCTTAGTGCTTAAATATTTATAGTAAATTTATATACATATCCAATTCCACAAACTGCGCACCAAAATTTTTTTCAATCTTAAAACGTAAACATAAAAAGAACTAGAGTAGAAACATCACATTTAAATTAATTAGTAAATATTACCGAAGTCTCAGTGGTTAAACGGTAAGAATTTCTACACGGAATATGAAAGATAGTCTGCCAGCTGGCAGATGGGACAGCGGCTGATCGGAACAATAAAAAAAATAGTATATTCATGCTATAGCAGCAAAGTTGATATTTTGTTTTCTCTTTATTGTCCGTCAGCGTGCTGTCAAGACGATACCAGTCTCTCTCTCTCTCTCTCTCTCTCTC